TACTGTTGTATGGTAAATATTTTGTTAAATTTGTCGGTATATAAGTGACATACCAAGACACTAATTGATAATAGTTATTCTCATCTTGCACTATATTGTTGTTCTTCTCTTTCCCAGAATACTGTATATTTGACATTTGAACCGTAATTAAAAAATGTTTGTTTAAGTACACATATGAGTATTCCTGCGCCAACACCATACTTATTCCTGCGGTTAACTCAAATCCAACTTGATTTTTGGCTTCACCAACAAATTGCCTCCAGACTCCTGTCCTCTATCCTCAGTCCTTCCATGAACACTTCTCCTCCAATTCTTTTTACATCTTCAGTAACTTGTTCTCTCCATCTTAATCTTGGTCTTCCTTCCTACACACCACACTTCTTATTGTTGCATCCTCCTTTATTCTTCTCGCATTACTGAGCCACCTAATTTCTGATGATTTATCATCCCATAATATTTTTATGGTCTGTGGGGATTTGCGAAATTGATCTATATAATGATCTAGGTAGGTAATGGATAGGATGAAGGGTAGTAGACTGAGTAGTCAAGGATGGAATAAGGATACAGAGATCAATCTTTAAGCACCAAAAAAGACTTTTAAGCCCAATATATCGGCCATCATAATTAAACAATGAAACATTAACTTAGAGCTATGCTAGCATAACTTAAAATTATAGGCTGAAAACATGTGCTGCATCTTTGAGACAAGATTTAACAGCTGATCTATAGCTATAGAGCGTTGGCAGGCCCATAGTAGTTGGTGAATAGCTCCCTGGCCCCTGGGCTGTAATTGGCTTGGGCTCCTCCTTCTCCTTATCTGGGGGTTTAAGGTCGGTCCTTCAGAATTTTTTTTAAATTAAAGTAGCTGAAAACAAGTCCTATCGCCATCTGGAGGTTAAAATACATATTGTAATTTGTGAGTTTGTATGTTTTTAAGCAAACAAAACAATATTTTGGAAATTTGGCGTCCCTAAATTTTGGCGCTCTTGGCTGTAGCCCCCCGTCGTCCCATTCAAAGTGGGGACACATACAGCTAGCTGTTCATTGAATTTACCTGTAATTTAAGTGCGGTACACACAGTGGTGTAGTAGTAAATTTTCCAATCCAGGAACGCTCAACATTGTGCAAAAATACAGACTGCTTACAAATATATATGTTCTTTAATTGGTAAAACCAGAGTGGGAACATTGCTTTCATGTGTTCCCGACCCGACTCACTACACCATTGGGTGGACAGCTCAGGTTAGAGACAACATTCAACATTGTAGATTTGAGGGCTCAATTCTGCCTTGGTTAGGTCTTCTGTGCGACTTAGTACTGTAGAGCTCCTTGAGTGAGACCCATCTAAAATAAACTGGATGGTGAATGGCGGGGTGGAAGTTAATTTAACATGTCGAATGAGTGGATGGATTCTTGTGAATTGCACCTTTGCTTTAGTTTTTTATTGTAAAATACTAAAAATTATTGTAAAATACATTACCAATTCACATTAAAATAAATAAATAATCCTTGGCCCAAATGTGAAATCTAAGTTATATGTTGCACATAGGTAGGCCTACAGTGTACCAAAATTGTATGTTTACCCTATACCTAAGGTCAATTATTCAGTAACAATCTTGGAGATAAGCTGCTTGTCTATGGCCAATTACTGAGATGTTAAGAGTTGCATCTCTTAATCTAATAGATCTGTATGTAGCCTATACTTTAACTATATAAGTAAGAAACTAACCTATGAAATCAGTGAATACCCATGTCTTGTATCAGGGTATGGCACTATACACCCTGCACTTTTCCACTTGCCAAAAAATGTATGATCAAGTTTCTTAGTTTCCGTTCCCTAACTCCTAACTGTATATTCTGGTGTTATATTTGAGTGATCCTGGGGCAATGTTATACATATTTGGTTTTAAAATCAACTAATTTCTATCTTGTATATTTATAAATCAATTGTTAGGATGTAAAAGAGGTCCCAAATATTGCTAAAAGTTAGTTGGTGGGTCTTAGGTCACAGACAATATAATACTTTAATGTTTCCATTGTCTGTGCTTAGGTCTTATAGATCAGATGAACACATGCTAATTCATCAAATTGAATGTAATAGGGATCGATTGTGTCATTCTGTTGAAACTTAGATACCATATTTTCCACCTCATTTTAATAGGCAAGCATGTTTCTTGAAAACCTTTTTTCACAGCTCGTGTGCATCACAGGGAAATTCTACGCATACTGTAAGACAGATAGTTTCCTGTAGATGTGCAGAATCCCTTTATAAAATAAAAGAAGCAATAAGATCAATAATAAGCACACAAAAAATAAATTAAAATTTGAAAATAATTATCATGGACCCTATTGGTTGCCATGCTGGTGACAAATTAAAAATTAACATGAAACATAAACAGAAAATAAAAACAAATTAAATAAATTCCAATCTTATGTTTTATTTTACAACGTGGGGTGAAAATAGGTAAGTTTTCATAATGCATATTTTTGGTCAAATTTTCGACCACTGGCCACTGGCCTACCTCTAGTTCTCAATATTCTGCCAGGAGCTGCATATAACATCCATCTCCTTGTAAGGAGAGGAATTAAACAATTTGAGAGTATAGCTTTGAAGTCTCTTGATCCTTATTAACAAGGCCATTGAATAAAGAGCATAAACAAATTTATTCTTTGAAAGAGACTGATTCTAGACCCAGTTCCACTTTTTATTGGATTAAATTTAATAATACTCAAACAACATGCTAGCTTCATTTGAATATTTAAAATAATATGGTTTCATCCATGCCCTACAGGTTTAAAATAATTCCAAAGGTATTTATTGATAAAAGTGTATTTAGTATGCAATAGTCAATGGCAAGCCTATATTTGGCCTTCATCTCCACACCTCATATTTTTTTTCTTTCTATAGCCAGTAAACCTACCATTTAATATATCTGGGTAGTTTTAGAGTAAGATAGTAAATAATATGGCCAATATGTACATTTTTCTTTTAGGCTTTCAAATGTATAGCCAAGACTCACAATAAGTGTAGTGATTTTTACAGTCCCCATTTAGCCCAACAAAACATTGTCATTGATGATTTTCAGATTTAGTAACCATTATTGTTTTATAGGCTAGTTTGATTTTTATGCTGTTTTGCCTGGATCTTGTTTACAATTACAAATTACCGCACTTATTTAGGTCGAACACCTCTAATGTCACTTTTATTATTTAAACTAGCTGTGTACCCGTTCTACGCACGGGGATCTTATAATATTCAGTTGAAACCTTCTTATATAACGAACAGCAGTTGGTTTGCATATTTTAAGATATGCTGGCCAAACTATTATACATAGCTTCATTTTATGTTGTTTTTTGTTGTTCCGGATCGGTATGACAATCAATAAAAGGTTAAATTACCTCTGTGTCTGCCGGTCGATCCTATAACGGTAGGCTTACTTTTATTTTTACTATCTGATCTCGTTTGCATGGCTCAATCACGTCCTGGTTGAAGTTCGTTCGCTACGCTCACTCACCTGTATGTTGGAGCTCGTTCGCTGCGCTCACTTTCCTTCAGGTTAGCTCGTTCGCTACGCTCACTTGCCTTCAGGTTAGCTCGTTCGCTACGCTCACTCGCCTCCAGGTTGCAAATTAGCTGTTGTCATAAATGTAAAAGAAATAATAGTGCTAGTGCTGCACCCTGTTGGTAATCCTTGTAACTTTAATGCTATTGAACATCACAGAACAGAACCAACTTGTTTAATTGAAACAGCTGTTAAGATTCAATAATTTCATTTCTCATAAGGTTAACATGGGCTTCCAGAAATTCCACGTCAAAAATCGACAAAAACTTGATTTTCAAGGGTTTACTGTTAAATATCTAACTGTCTCATATTCGATGAAATACGTCTAAAACCATCTCATATATGTATAGTATTTGGAAAATAAGTTTCAGGCGGGACAGTGCTATAGTTATTGAGGAGTAGTTGTAATAAAGTGCGTATTTTAGCGTTACCAAGAGAATGACAGATAGACAGACAGACAGACAGACAGACAGACAGACAGAAATTGAGATAAGGTTTGATTCGGTTTCTCTGACCTATGAAATGTAAAAATAACCAAAAAGTTCATTATTCTAAGCAATGTACAGACAAAACTCTAATTTTATTTATATAGATGGTACTGTCTAAACCATATGTTAATTTCATGTTGTGTTAGCCCTCCATATCACTGGTATAGTAAAAAATAATGATTTTTAATACATTTCTGTTTTTAGCCTACTACTGGGGGTCACTTTGACCTTTGACAGTATAAACCATTATTTTTTATGTTATTAGAATATAGGATTCAGAGGACCAACTACGTCCTTTCTTTTTATCCATATCGCTTTCTGTTCTATAAATATTCGTTCTTTTTACTCAAATTAAAATTAAAATAATGCAGTTTTTTCTACGATTTTTTACGACATTATTACAATTATGTACAATTAAATTAGGCATTTAGAAGTTTGAACAAAACATAAAAAATAAAAAATAAAACATTGCGGGTTTGCTCAACGACAACGTTGACTTCACCCTGTATAATTTTTAATTTACATAAGCCTATAATTTTTTGTTTGACATAAGCCTAATTAGGGGGAAATAATTAATTAGCTAATGATTATTTTAGTCTAGGCCTACTGCAAATTTTGATGTCTAATCCTTAACGCCTTATTTTTATTTGTTGTGTACTAATACTGTAAGTTACTAGTTTTTAAATCGAAATAATGAATAGGCCTACACGATTTTGTGATAAATTATAAATGTGTTGTATCCCTCTAATAATTAAAGTTCTCCCAATAATAACAAGTTTTATTTTAAAATCCACCCTGATAAACATAATAGCTATATACTGGGTTTATTTGTGTAAATTGTCATTAGCGTACAAAAATAATGTAATAATTTCGATGTATATTTTCAAAGATTTACTATGATTTTTGTGTTTTTGATTTGCGAGGCTGGCAGCAGTGTGGTCTAAGTCAATATGGCTGCACGGCATCCAATTCCCATCACGTTAAATTCGTGTCCCAGTGCTGCAAGTTGCATTTGGTGTATTTATTTGATTATATCCATAGTGTTTATTAAAGGTACTTTCACTTAGAGACTTATTTCGCATAATTTATCATTTTGTTACTCCTCACAAGTGTCATTTCTCATATATCCAAATTGCAAGGCTCTGGATCGATAATCGAGCTGAGCTAGTGGTCGGGCCCAAAAGTTTTTGAAAAGCTTAACTCCTTGGCCTATTAATTCTAAAAAATAAAATGATATGGCAAATAACCCTGTTTAGTATTGAAAATAACTTATTTTTTTAATCTTAAAAACTCTATTTTCGTCATGGTGGTCTTTAGTGTTGTTATTTATTTTTATCAAAAGTGGATTGATACAACTTGTACAGTTGTTTTTTAAGGGCCTGGATTTGACTAGGCCTAGGCTATCTTAACTTACAACCAAACTTAATCATTAACACAATTTAAACCTTCTTTATCTATTTAGATTTTTTTGGAGTACAGTTTCTTAACTGGGCTACGCTAATATCGATTGAAACTATCGAATTGAATATATTGATAAATAATCGATATTTTTAAATAGGCCTATAGGCTATCTATTATAAAATGAAACTATCATAACCTAACCTAACCAACCAAACTTGCTGATGGTGAAAAAATTGCATGAATGTTTACTAATCGAATCGATAGTTTCAATCGATATTAGCGTAGCCCAGTTAAGAAACTGTACCCTTTTTTTGTGTAGGCCTACCGTAGGATTAAACAACACAACATGAAGCTACCATTGACGTGCCCCCAAATTTTTAAATTCAAATTATGTGCTGTCGTGCCCTTACTAAACTCTAATTTTGTTGACCTAGGACCTGGTGTAATTAGCCAACACTTCTCTTTGATGAATCTTATAACTTGTTGTGTCTGTTACATTCCTTCTATTTTGTACTTCTCAGTGAAATATTTTATTTGAAAAATGCTACAGTTAAAACTATTTTTGACCCTAGTTAAGTTATAAGTTAGGGTAAATTACTTGGATCTAAGTGTCATTATAATTTTGGGGTAAGTTACAGTTTCTTAACTGGGCAATGCTAAGATTTGATTACCGGCAGCCTACTGTAGTAAATCTTCATGCAATTTTTTTCATTATCCAGCAAGTTTGGTTAAGTTAGTTAGCTCAGGTTATGACAGTTTAAGGGTACAGTTTCTTAACTGGCTATGCTAATATCGATTGAAACTATCAAATTGGAAATATTGATTAATAATCAATATTTTTAAATATATCTATTATAAAATTAAACTATCATAACCTAACCAACCAAACTTGCTGATGGTGAAAAAATCGCATGAAGGTTTACTAATCGAATCGATAGTTTCAATCAACATTAGCATAGCCCCTAGTTAAGAAACTGTACCCCAGTTTAATTTTATAATCGATACTTTCAAGTTATATCGGATACAGAAAAAGACATCCCATCTATATGGATCAGCCAATTTTGTACTAAAAACTAAAATGCAGTTTGTGTGAGCCAGTCACAGCGATTGCTCTAGTGTCTAAAACTATTTTGTATCTTATTTTTTGTTACTGACATACCGTAGTTAATGGGTCATAACAGTTGCTACCTAGGTATAGCTTATAATAAGTCACTCCATCAGTTTGACTTGGTAAAAACCATTGTGTAACCACTGTGTTGGTAGAAATCAGTAATTTATATCAGGAGCAATCTGTAGGTGGCTCACTTCAACTAAGGCAAATTTAACTTAATTATTTAAAAAACCTGGCGACAACTTTAACATGGGGATGGGATGTCTAGCTGTACCGTATTACTAGTCAAAGGTTATATTTAAATATATATAATTATTAATCAATATTTTCTATTCGATAAGTTTCAATCGATATTAGCATTAGATCAGTTAAGAAACTGTAGGTACCCTAAATTTGTCATAACTTAACTTAGCATGGTAATAAAAACTCCTCAAAAGTTTTGGCTCAAAACAAACAGCATTAAGTTAAGATATTTTGATTAGGGTATATATAATCCCTTATTTTTGCTAAAAAAAATTGGTGTAGGGTCAAAATCCTGGGTTCTGTTAAGTTACGGTACCGGTAGTTGCGAACCATTCCCTATTGGAGGACTGGATTGAAAATAGACTACCTAAGTTAAAAAGCCTAAGTTGTGTAGAATAGCCTAACGTTATATTCAGATACCGGTAACTTAGAAGGACTGATTACTTATGTTCTATTTAAAAAAATTAGTAGTGAATAGAAGGATGAGTTTAATTTATTTAACTTTATTTATTTTTATTTATTTATACATAAGTTAACCTGCCAAAGGCAAAACGATTTAAAAAGATTCAACAAAACATTTACAAACTAACAATAAATAAATAACAGTGTAACAATCAATAATTATAGCCTAAGTTACTAGCGTTAATGTCCTGGATACCTACGTGAGAGGAACACAGGTTTGGTTCCTGGCATTTCCACCAAACATAACCTAACTAAGTAGGCCTAACCTAGGCCTACTTAAAGAATTTGGACCGCTTTCCGTTTACTTAAGCTTAAAGCATTTATAAACAAATGAAATGTTACTCGCCTTGTTACCATTATCCAATAAAAGTAGTTTTTTAAGATAGGTTAGTACCGTACCGTATCTATCAACTACGGTATCAATTGAGCAATTAGTTAAACTAAGCCCTAGCAGATTTATTCAATAAAGTTATTAAGTTAGGGAAGTTCCTTCTTTTAGCGAATTTCCCATATAGGGAATAAGCTATTACCGTAGTACTTATGGTAAGACCTGGACCCGGGAGTGATTTACTTTTTTGTTTTGAGGTCCCCAGAGGCCAAAAACACCCTCTGTTCTAACTAATATATATATTATGTGTGTCCATTAGCGCGATAACTTAAGCAAAGATGATCAGATTTTGATGAAATTTGGTAGAAACGTGTAAACCAACGTCTATTCGAACGAGTTTGCTAACTTGCATGATCGGACTATGGAAACAGGGGTAAAATTTGGTTTTTCCCATTTTTGACTCTAAAAACATCAAATTTCACCATTTCTTTCCAGACCATTTTGTAGAGCTTAAAAAAAGAAATAATTTTGTATATTGAAGCGTTGTTGTATGTCTAACGGTTACGTAGATAATTTTAAAAACTTTAAATTTTAAAATTCTCATGTTACCCGTATTCTTATATGGAGAATAAATAAACTGTTGTACTTTGCTTGTTTATGGATATATTTTAATCAAATTTGGCAATTTTGTTTATTTCATACTAAGCTATCAACATTTCAATAAAAAAAAACTCACCTCATTACCTGAAGTAGCAGCAAACCTAGGCACTCATTAAAATTAATGTTATTTAAATAGGAAATAAAGGTACCGTACTTTCCTGTTAAAGGGAACATTCATTATTATCGATGATTTTTTTCTCGATATATCGATATTAACAAATTGAAACATATCAGCTGACAACTACGATAAATATTGTTCAGTACCAACAAACAATAATGAAATGAAACTGTTTAAAAAAAAAAAACCTAACATAACTAACCAAACTTGCTGTATGTTTAACTTGCCTTTTCTGTTATCAAAAGGAATTTTTAAATAGTAGAGCAAGTTTGGTTGGTTATGTTAGGTTAGCTTAGAACAGTTTCATTTCTTAATCAATATAATAGACTATTTTAGCCTAAACGAGATCAGTTGTCAATATGTAATGGATCGGTAAACAAAAATATCGATATATCGAACAAATCATCGATAATAATGAATGTTCCCTTTAACAGGATAGTACCGAAATAAATATGACAATTTTCAGGGTATATTTTAGGAGAAATCCAGCCAGGTAAATGGAAATTCGCTTAGTCTGCAGGTTTGCTGCTGCGGGGGTATTTAAATGTTTTTATTTGTTTAATCCACATGATTGATTTTGCGTTATTAAGCTGAATTTATAGCCTTCAACTACAAAAATTAAAATTAGGTAACTTGACTAAACCTTAGGCTAATTAAACTACCTGGTAAATGACTGAAAGCTACGGTACCAAAATCGTAGCCATAATTGGGAAACAGTTTTCTAACAATTTATGTTAAGTAAGTTAGTTGTAGTTCTAATTTGGTCTTTACTTTTAAGATAACCTAATGTTATAAGTTACCTAATCAAAGAAACAAATAGCTTGTTTCAATTCAGTATTATTTATTCCAGATTATGAATGCAAAGTGACATTGGCTAAGCGAAAGAAGCATCATGAAGAGTACGACAATCGGGCATGGCGCCCCGCTCTACCCTTCATAGGGGCTTCGTACTCTTACAATCTGATGGGGCAGGGTGGGGGCCACAGAGACTGGGATAGCACTCAGTTTCAGGATAAAGCGTTAGGTGAGTTTCTGCTACAGAAAATAATTTTTCTCACCTTTTCCGTGGAGAGAGTAGTTATTTTTGATGACAGCTGATAACTTATTAAAAAGAAAAAAAGTTTTTCCCAAGCTCTAATTTTCTGGCTCTCAATCATTTAGGCTAACTTAGATCTCATTTGCCCACTACGCGCACCAAATTTCTTTAGGTACCGTTAATAATTGAAATCTGCTGTTTGTACTGTTTAACCTAAATGTATGCAGAAACAGGCAAAGCTAGTTTTTGCTACATATTACATAGGCCTATAGCACGAGCACCGGAATCACCAAAATTGACTGTAACTATTTATATAGCAATGGTATACAACAAAAGTTATATAACAATTTTATATAGCAAAAGTTATATAGCAGGTTTAGCTGCATAGTGTAAACCCGGCTTTATTTTATATGTGATTATTCTTGCATAGTGATGACAAGTATAATTCATAGGTAACTTGTGAACTATCGAAAGTGATTTTCCAGCAATTGCTCCTATCCCCATCCACAGCTTCGCCTAATGTGAAACTCACTATCACATGCTCTTGAAATTTGATGTTTATTCAGCTTAGGCTCACACTTCTTTGGATGAAACTTGAACGTGCACCAAAAAATGCCGTTTTCGGTGCTTGTAATATTATTTCATCGGCAGTTCCCGAACTATGAGTCGTGGGAGCAATATCGGTGGGTTGCGGGAAGAGACTAAATATGATTTTTTTTACCGGAACTCGTAATTTTACATTACCATTTAACGGTATAGTGAGCACCAGAATAGTATGAAGGGGGTAGCAAGGAAAACTCAAAATATTTACAGTTTAACGTGATTGATGTGTCTTTAGCTTAAAACTAGGTCTTTTAAACACTGATTGTTTGGGATATTTTTATTCCCAATTTTTATGTCAATACCATTATTGCAATAGGCAAAGGGCCAACCAAGCCCATTTGTTTTTGCACCAATCTTAACAACGTGGAGATGATCGTAATGCCACCCCGAACAAAGGAGATGATTACTAACACTAAGTGATCGTGACCATTGGAGATGTTCAAATTATATGTAATTTTATAAAACCTCTATAACCCTTAAGCATTTTTAACAATCATGCATTAGACATGGTCTCAAATTATGGTAACATATGGTTAAACACAGTAGCTTAACCCAGTCAGACTAGATTAATAAGCTACAAGATCACAGACAATAAAAGATAAAAATTAAAGTAAAAAGTAGGCCTAGGTGGAACATACTAGATAAAAAAAATAAAACATCAAAACTTAACAACTTTACATAAAAATAGGATGTTCAACAAGCCAGTTATATACTAGATCTTTAACCGACTCAGGCAATGAAGGAAACCTGAAGGAAAGTGAGCGCAGCGAACGAGCTCCAACCTAAAGGTGAGTGAGCGTAGCGAACGAACTTCAAAAAGAACCGAAATTTCTTAAACCATGTCCTCACTCATAACTGCTATAAGCATTTGATACTTATATGCCAACCCCGTACGAAGGACGGGTACTCTGCTAGTACTATTATACAAAAGAGGTGGTTGCTGTATGTATGGGAAAAGTAAACGCGAAAAATACTGGTCGGATCGGGCTGAAATTCGGCATGATGATACATGATGATGCTCACATTCCCGATTAACATATAGGCATATTTTTATCCCAAAAATCCTTTCGGGCTCCGCCCCAGTGGCTCTGGAGTTTCCCATGTTAACCTTATGAGAAATGAAATTATTGAATCTTAACAGCTGTTTCAATTAAACAAGTTGGTTCTGTTCTGTGATGTTCAATAGCATTAAAGTTACAAGGATTACCAACAGGGTGCAGCACTAGCACTATTATTTCTTTTACATTTATGACAACAGCTAATTTGCAACCAAAAGGTGAGTGAGCGTAGCGAACGAACTTCAACCTGGAGGCAAGTGAGCGTAGCGAACGAGCTAACCTGAAGGCAAGTGAGCGTAGCGAACGAGCTAACCTGAAGGAAAGTGAGCGCAGCGAACGAGCTCCAACCTAAAGGTGAGTGAGCGTAGCGAACGAACTTCAACCAGGACGTGATTGAGCCATGCAAACGAGATCATCTTGAAAATTAAGAAGTTAAACGGGGCAAAGCTTGAGTATAATTGCAATAAGAATTTTATACTTATATTCCAACCCCGTACGAAGGACGGGTACTCTGCTAGTCTATACTATTATAATAAATAATAAATAATAGCCAAATTTAAAAAATCACTTTTTTTAAAAAAAATCATTAATTCACTGCCATATCCCCTTAATAAAGCAATGAAATATCCTATATTCTCAAAAAATCTCCTTTACAACAGGCTATGTAAACCATATTATTGCTCTTTTTTAAATTTTTCAAAACGTTGGTGTAAATATAACTAAAATTGCTTGCATAATTGATAGTAATGTTTGGTTTTCCAGATAATGTTTTCAAGATGGGGCGGAAGCGTGAAGAGTTGGGCACGCTGTGGAGTGGAGATACTGTATTACAAGAAGAATGGCATCCACATTGGCAGTTGCAAGTCTCGCTTATCGCCCTTGTTTGTGGTTTAGCACTCTTTCTTGTGGTGAGAACCTTTTAGCAAGTTTCCCTAAATCTATGTTTACCTTGTGCCTAGACACAGGATCTCTGCTCAAATTCATTTAGCCTAGTATATTAACCTTTATTAATAAGGATTTGAGTTCCCAAGTTGTTGGTATGGTATAGTTTTGATATGAATAATGACAGCGGTATTCTAGGACTGTTAAGATACCCCTTGTCCATTATGAATAACTTTTTATAGTTGCTGTTAGAATGAACCAAAGACCATTTTAACAGAGTCGACAGATTATTGAGGGTTAACTATAGGTGCAAACCTACCATTGTGTTCTGCGCATGATAATTTTTGTAGGAACTTTCTTGTAACTTAGCAAATTTGTTTTAGTAAATTTCTCTTCAGGAAAATAGCCTAGCTATCACTGCAGTCTAGTCAAGGACCAGCTGCATGCTACTGTTTCCTGTAGGTCCCTAGAAGCCTATATAGCACATTTTTTTAATGTTATTTAGTTGTGGAACAATTAATTGTGGTACAACAGCTGATTATTGGGAAGATGATCTGTACTCCAAAAATGTCTTTTTCCAAATATTATATAGGCCTAAAGAAAAATTGTGTTTCCATATGAGTTATCCCTCTTGTTATTTTTATTGTGAATAAGTTTTTGTTGATGGCCTCTTTATAGGAATAACCTTAAGAAATTTGGTCATGTACCCTCTTTAAACACACAAAAGTCTGAAAATGTTCTCCACACTTATCCATCAACTGGTGATGATTTCAATTGTAGTTGAACCCTTGAGATTGTGGAAATATAAGTACAGAACAGCAAACATACATGCCTTGTGGAAGTGTGAATTTTCTTTCACATCGTCATTGGCTATAATGACGAGACTTATTAACCAGCTAGGGCAGCCAAAGAATAATATAGAAACATGGCCCTCATGTCAGATTTAAAGTAGCTGGCTTGGTCGTGGCTGAGCTTGGTGGAGACCCTAACTTTCAGACAAACCTCATATAATAAGTTAAAAAAGGGCCCAGAATATACTACAATAATAAATAGCAAAATACACTCAGAGGGTTTTAACTCATCTTGCAATAGTATATTAATTGGAAAATTGGCTTTTTTAATTGTGTTATGTATGTTGAGATTCTACTTTATACTGACAAAGTGTTGTTTGTCAAGGTTCTGATCTGGTTGAAGAATCAAATGTCCTCATCATCTTCGACAGGAAGTGATAAAGTAGAGATTGGAGACGAAAGTTTGTCACATTCCGAGGGTCAGTGGATCTATCATCCAGTGATCAAACCAGTGACTACGGAGCAGTGTGAGATTCTGCCCATCATTCCTCATCCGCCGCATGGTAAACAAAACTTTTACATCTTTGATATTTGCTCAAGCTGTTTGACTTCACTTGTATTACGGTAATAGATAAATGGATTGAGGAGAGAATTTTATTAAGCTTTCATAACTCAGCTTCCTAATTATCAAACTGAACTAACTCACTGTTTAAAGCTAGCCCGCCATGAAGTATCTGAATTAAATATCTATTGTTGTAGGCCTACTTAATGAAAACAAAGTTATTACTCAAGCATAGTTTGAAAATTATATTCAAAACATATCAACTTATGGTGCAATGTTTTCCAGCTACCCGTGCCATTTTGCCTGAAGTAATGACTGCTCATAATTTAACCGAGGAGAAAAAAGAGCCGATTAGGATCAAGGCGAAGGGGCTTCTAGAACGGAGGGGCTCCAGTGCCAGCTTGACTATTGACCTTCTACACCCGAGTCAAGAGAACCTGAGTGTTACTCCCACCCGAGAGTGGTAAGATATTACAAGCTTAATTCTATCTTTGTTCTTTTTACGATTCAAAATAGAACAACATAGTGTGGCTCTAGGACGGTTTTATACTCTGAATGATGTAACCTGTTGGATCAGGCCAGAAAAGTTAGTTTTTTTGTTGTAATATCTACCCTATTATTTATTTTAGAGTTAGTAGCCTAAATATTTTACTACACCTATTAAAACGTCAAAATACACAACCTACTCTCAAAAAATACTCTGTTTGTCTGCTGAGTTTTAAACTAGATTCTCAGTTTCTCTTTATCTTGCTATACAAATTGTGTTGGCTGTAGCACTGCTGAAGAGTATTTGCTGTCAGTTGGTAACGTACTGAGTCGAGGACAGCTGAGGAACTGTTTGAAAGACGCGAGAGCTCTGCACAAGGAGTTCTGGGATCTTCCATTGAACCATCCGGAGAAGATAGAGATAACCGGCAGTAGTGCCAAAAATAGGTGAGTCAAGAAAACCAATGTCGTGTCGATAATAACATTTTAAATTTGATTTGATTTTGATATTTCTCATACGTACAGATTATGCCAATATATGAGTCCAGCATTACTTTCAAACCGTTGTACGTCTTGAAGCCATTTGTGATTGTTGGATTTTTGTTGCTAAGAATACCAGCAACAGTAATATTTAGAACAATGTTCCTTGTATTGACGTGTCTGTGTATTATTATGTCTTACATACTGTAAGCCTACTAATATCCATGTCCGCCAATACACCCATAGGATAATCAATGTAAACGTCTTATTTTTGTTCAGGGACTCAAGAGCTTTAATAAGTTTATAAGAGCTTTAATAAGTTCATAAAACAAGTTTAAAACGTGATAACTTCCCTATAGGCCTATGGTAACTTATAATTTTCAGTTTAAAATCGTAAGTATATTGTTTCATTAGGAAGAATAGTGTGAAATTAATTAAGTAAAAAGTAAATAAAATTTCCTATTAAGAAATAAAACCTATAATATGTTCTTGATTTCATAATTCATTCCCGTGCATATGTTAAAATTTTAATTTTTGTACCCCACATAGGCTTATTTGGTATGATATTATAAATTTAGGTAAATGAAATAGCATCACACACGAAAATAATAACAAAGGAGAAGCAAATATGTCAAAAACTACTCATAAATACGTTGATGTTTTACTACTCCTAAACACTTACATAAACCTATGCAGTGCTTGATTTGTAAAAATTGAGTTGACATGTGTAACATGTTAATAAGATTTGTACCTATTTATTACAATCTTCCTAAAAGAGAGGTACTGGAACTCTGTTCTGCCGCGTTACCACGCAAATCGAGCGCTGCTCCTATGGCTATTTATACCCAAGGTGGGATTTGGCCGCACCAACAACTGCTCTCCATCCCTCTCTATCTTCTGCTTGTTCCACTGCTGTCCCCACTTCTATAGTGTCCTCGGTGACATCATTCCACCTTCTCTTCTTGAGCCTTCCTAATGGTTGTTTCCCTTCAGGCTTTCCTATACTTGCTTCTTTTATTAGTAAGACCCTATCTCTCCCAAGTACGTGTGCTGTCCGCCTTTTTCTCCTTACTTTCACATGTGCCACTTACATCATAATTTTTAAACAGATACCTTGTATGTATGTTTCTCCATTCTCCATTTTCCTGTATTGTGCCAGGACTTTTTATTCCTTGATTTTGTTACTAGACTGCTAAGATGCATTTTATTTAAATTTCGCACACGATGTAAAACATTCTGGTTTAGTTGAATGATTACAAGTTTTGAAAATGATTGGTTTTCAGATTTAAAGTGATCTTTTGTCAAAAACATTTCAGAGATTTATATCCCAGGATTGAAAGTATTTAATTAAATCCGTCCCTGAAAACACACTTAAGTTGGTTTTTAAAACAAATTTCATCAATGTTTATAGGTATCGGACAATCATACCCAATGAGAACACAAGAGTTCATCTACCATTGGAACCACCCAGTGATCCTCTCTCTGGGTACATCAACGCCAATTATATTAGGGTAGGTTGTGTATGGTACTTCAATTGTGTAGGGTTTTTATAACAAAAGATACACTATTTTATTTTAATTTAAACATATAAATTTATCAGCATTACCTAAAAAAACTGCAAAATAATCTAATCTAAAAGTGTCAAAATTGCTTTTTCTGTCCTTGACTTAATAGCAAATCAGGTAACAGAGTAACCCAGCTTTTCATAATGAGATGTTGAGTGAAGGAGTTTCAAGTGTTTCAAACGATGAGCCACTGTGTAACTTAGGCTTACCTAATCGGCTCTAACCGTAGTAATGAAATTTACTTTTCCCTTCAATGAATTAAAAATTATTTAGAAGCTGTCCCTAAACCGATTGTTCAGCTGGTGATTGTAAGATGTGTTTTGCAGGGTTACGATGGGGAGGAGAAGGCATTCATAGCCACTCAAGGTCCGTTGACCAACACGGTGGTTGACTTCTGGCGGATGGTGTGGAGCGAACACTCGCCCGTCATTGTGATGATCACCAAGTTGATGGAGAAGTCACGCTCCAAGTGCGAGCTGTACTTCCCCATCGACCCCGGCGCAACGGAGACCTACGGAGACATATCTGTCACCGTGTCCTCCATCATTGTCAAGGATGGATATGTCATCCGTCATTTTATAATGCAGGTTATTATTGACTTTTGGCAAATGTCTTTAGGATGTATGTTTATTGTATTGATAACATTTATCCAATGTAGTTGTAATTAATCTTGGTAATTGTGTTTTTTGGCAAATCTTGAGGTTATTTAATATGTGAAAAAAAATGGAAACATCCCTTAATCTTTTTTTAGTAATAAGGTTTAGGCCTTTCTACATGTATATTGGTAATTTTCAATTAAAAGTTTCAATGCAAGGATAGATCTTGTGTTTTCTAAAACAAAATGTTGCTTGTATTAATTTCTTGTGCCTTATGCAACTAAATTTTACAAAGTTTTTAAAAGCAGCTTGCATTAAATATGTTAGCTTTTTAAATGTGATAAGTGTTGAATTACCATATTATTTTTATTCTTGAAAGTTTAATTTTGTTACAGAAAGAAGACGAAACCCAACGAGTAACACATTTCTGGTTTGACTCGTGGCCTGACCACAAAACTCCTGCCAATGCTCACTCGCTGCTCTGCCTGGCTAAGGATGTTGAGTCGTACAGGTTCAGAGACACTCAGAGAGGAAGTACCTCTTCCTGGCCACACTCGCCTAAACCTGTCAAGTCTGATGGTACAAAGCATGAAACTGATTTGCTTTCACCCTGTCCAGAAGCAGCAAGTCCTCAGTCCTTAAAGGAAACCAGTCCTGTTCTCAACTTTGGCCGGCTGGAATTTAAAGAAGATGAACCCGAGAAAGAATTGCGAAGTAGTCCTAAGAGTGGTGATGAAAATCTTATTGTTTTGGCTCAAGAAGATGTAACTGAGCCTGTCCAGATATCATTGAAGCCTACTGTTGAAGCTCTTAATCTGGAAATTTTTAAGGAAGTAGATGAAACCGCTTATAAGATTGTACCGGTTTTACCTGCAGATAAATTGAACAGTCCTACATTTTATGACAGGTCGTTATATTCTAATGACGATGTTTTTCAAGTAGGGTCTCTTCCACAAAAGAGTCCCATTCAGTCCCGGGTTCAGTTAGAAAACATACGTTCGAGATCGGTGGAAGCGCCTTCGAGTGGATCCTTGAAGTCGGATTCGAGTCAAGAAAAAAAATCCGCCCCTGGGGAGATTTTCGATTTTGAAAAACTGACAATCTGGCAAGACACTAATACGATGTCTACAGATGAACTGACTTCCTCCGAAGAGAGAAAAAAGTCTTCGGATATCAGTGAAAATTTACCTGAAAGCTTTGAGAAAAAATTCAAAGGAATCGGTTGTACGTCAAGTCCCAATTGGGCTTCGGAAGCGAGTCCTAATCTTACTCAGAGTTTTGACAAAAGCACATCTAAGCTGTCTGTTGACAGTCTTAGCTGGGGAGGGTTAGATGTAATGAGCCCTAACTTTTCAGAAAAAAGTCCAAACAGGACTCAGTCTTCAATAGAGAGCCCAGTGACTCACAGCTCTAGTGATAGCAAACGCTGGCCTAGGAGCTCAGACAGCAGCAAGCAGTGGACACGCAGCTCGCAAGGCAGCTCCGGCTGGGCGCAGAGCTCGGAGGATAGTCCTCGGTGGTTTGAGAAAGACGAAGAGTCGCACATACGAACACCAAGAGATTGGTTTGACAAGAGTCCGCTGTTGAGCAGGCGGTCGCGTGAAGGCTCGGTGAGTTTCCTGTGGAACGAGGTGCCTGCTGCGAGGGGCCCGGCCGCTGGTCCTGTCATAGTCCACTGCAGTGCTGGCATCGGACGGACAGGCTGCTTCATAGCTATCTGTGTGGGTGTCAACCAGCTGCTGGGTGAAAACAATGTTGATATACTGGGAATCGTCTGCCGGATGAGATATGACCGGTGAGCTTTTAAGGCTTTTTAGTCTAGAATTAGATTTATGCAAATTGTATACTTCATCATTTGCTTGATTTGTAATTTTTAATATGTTAAATAACTTAATACAATAAGTCGATTCCGGTGATAAATAGACTACATTTTTACTCTCTCTTTCATTATGAATGATTTAAGAAAAATCTTAAACTGTTAATTCTAACGGTTTAGGTTTGCAGGTTGATTGTAATTTATCATATATTCCGTTGTTGTTAATGCCATTGATAAAAACCTTTTATCCTCTACCTCACAGCTAACTCTTTAAGTATTTATTTTCATGGACAAAACTAATTTGCTTTTCAATATACATATTATATGTAAATACAATATTGCAATGTGCCTGTATTTAGTGCTTTGTGTTGTGTCAGTTGGAAAACCTGTCAGACATTTTGAATTCCGACTGTGACATCCTATTTTAAACTGTTGTTTTTGTAACTGCCATCTTGACCTACTTTTGAAGAAGCCTCTGAAAGAGGCGAAACAGACATCCCCTCAAAAACCCAAATATAGGGGGACCCAAAACTCAACTCGAAAATATTGACGCAATACTTTCTCCGTACAGGAAAGTGGAAAAATAATTAGTTTAATTTTGTTGTAAAAACTGGTGATGTGAGGAAACTATTACCTATGATTAGACTTAAAGCAGTTATATTCTTGAGTGTGGCAGATTGCGTGAAAATATAATAATAATATCTATGGTTCTTACCGTCAACGCAATCAGGGGTAATATTCCACTACGGCCGTTTCGGAGATGACTCCATCGTCAGGTGCGTAGTGGTACACTAAACTATAGTCTTGTCACATGTAACACAAATTGTCTTCATTTGCATTGCGTCAGGGGTTGAATAAATAATACACATATAAGCATGGGACGGACACACGAAAACATTTAGAGCGCGTGCACGGCTTGAAAACTGACGGTCGGTGTTACTTCGTTAATTCGTGTTACATGTGACAAGGCTATAGTTTAGTGTACCACTACGCACCTGACGATGGAGTCATCTCCGAAACGGCCGTAGTGGAATAATACCCCTGATTGCGTTGACGGTAAGAACCATAGATATTATTATTAAAGCAGTTGTTACTTGATGGTTGTGTTTTCCTTGTTCCAGTGGTGGCATGGTGCAGACAGCAGAGCAGTATGAGTTTATACACAGAGCTCTGGCATTGTTTGAGCGATCTCTGCCAGACCAGTCAGGTGAGTGAACCTACTCTGCTGCGGTATGAGAGTAGAACCCCCGGGCCGCAGTAGCGCCCTCCGCCACAATGCCACCACCGCATTACGTCATGTGGATACTTCATTTATCAAATGCTATTACGTTTCACAAAGGCTATTTGACTTTTTAAAGTTAAATTCTCCTTTGTTAGCGTAGCGCAATAGTAGCGAGTCTTACAGGATGTGACTCGATGGAATCGTTGGGATGTTTCCGTTACCTCTGACTGTCTAGTTACCTTGGTTCTTGCCTCACGTGACGTAAATGTCTGCGTACATACGGACACGTATGTATTTTGTAACTGATTGAAAACTGATGACGCTTATAATAATAAAACTCGTAGAATGTTAAGTGTGTAAATATGATGTATTGATTTTGGCAGTTTGACACAAGTTAAATATTATTTATCTTAGACGTTGTATTATGTATATTCTAAAATATGTTTTGTAATTAATATTTTTATATGTAAAATTTACATAGTTATTGTTTTGTACTGTTTTGTTTCCTTTTGTTTTAGTTCAATGTGACATTTATTTTCTAGTTAAGTTTATTTGGTTAGCTTTCTTAATTACTTAGAAGTATCATCTATTATGGAAGTCAACTGGTTTATTTTCTATCCTCTTTCAAAAGTAAAAAAAAATTCAAGTTGAATGGCATAATAAAACGTGAGATGTAAATTTACTGTTGTATGTATACTATACTTATAGTATGGCGCATATTAATATAGGCTACGCTCAGAATGTTCCTTAAACATGATATCCAATGAAATAAATTTTGAGTAAACTACTTAAAAATATAAACCGCTATGAATCGGTAAATTATTTAAAATAATAAATAAATTAGTAGAATCTTGTTTTAAAACTAATGGTAAGCAATCTTGTAAAATGATTTTACCAGGCTAACAAATTTTAATTTTAACAAATTTTAATGAAGTTGACAAAAACCAAAATAGTTCAAATCATGACAAGTTTTTAATGTCAAACTTTTGGGTTTTTTCCATATTGATAGTAATAAAATCATACCATACTTGTATGATATGTGTTAAATCTTTTTCAATGTGTGTTTTTTTACCATACATAATAAGAGCTCGTTTTCTTGGGTGCAAACTTCTTGGTCTAATATTGTTTTCTGTCATCTATTATTACTTTCTACTTAGTATTGACACAAACAGTAAGAGTTTACGGACAGTTTACCGATCCTGTTAAGTATAAACTGGCTGGGAAAATTTACATGGCAATTATACATGAACATTACAACCAGAATTATTTTAGGTGAAGAGCTCTTGTGAGAAGTGGAATAAAACGGTATAGGCCTAAACATACATATTTTGTAGTGTGGCCAAATGGTTTCAGGAAATATTTAACTTTTTGTGGATTTTGAAGTGAATAAGTAGATGAAGGAAGTAGATAGCACAAAATTAAAAGCTTGTTAGGTCGGGTGTCGGCATCGTATGAATCTAATCGTGGAATATTTAAAATTATTCAAGTTTTTCAATATCATAATGATAAAAATCAGTAATAACAAAAGCTGGAATACTCAAATTAATATATAAAAGATGTTTTTATCCTAATTAAAACAAGTTCATATTACTTTTAAGTAAGTCCTACAACAAACCTCAATTCATCTGTACCTCTACACTGAAATCAACATAATTGTGTAAATACATCCTGCTCGGTGTTTAACCTTAGACTGATGTCTTTAATTTATAACTTCCATTCCTTTTGTAAATGATGTACTTAATTTGACACTAAAACCCACATTGTATAGATTAATCGAGTTGTAGATAGTCCCGAGGTAATGTTTTATGTGTCTTTGCATTATTAGTTGAATTTTCAAAGTCTGATTCTACGTTTGTGTAGATCTCTTTTATAGTATAGAAATTTTGTAAAGAAAGTTTACGTATATTTTCAGTGCACAATGGGTGTACTCCCTATTTTTATGGTTACTATTACTATTAATTACGTCAGAATTTTTGTTATGTAATGATAGCGTTTTATGTGGAAATGGATTCAAACTAGATTAAAATCAATGTTAATTACTAAGTACTATGAACACCACGTAGCGTTAGAAAGTTAATGTAAGGCGCAAATTAACAGTAGTCGTGAATGGATGGTAGAACACCAATAACATTGTTACTTGTCCTATAGAGTTCTCATGTCACATCGGTAACTTGCACTCAAATTCTTTAGATCTTTCTGATTTAGGTTTGAGGTCCGAAAACTAGAGTATGTTGCTTTGTACATTTTGACTACTATTGCAATAGGAAAATCAAATCCCAGAAATATCTGAAGCGTGTGGTTAACAAATGGCAACAGAATCAAATGTGAAATGTTTGATCAAAAAGTCAATCAAACTTTTGTAATAACTTTTTTTACTGTTTTACAACATTTTTCCTGTGCTAAAAACCTACTCTTGCCCATTGGTTTATATTTTCTTACGTTATTATGGTGCATAACTCTCAATTGCTTGTAAAACCACTTTAATAAGTGTTTTAATTGAGCAGAATAAAAAATGTATTGCGTGTTTTTTTAGCAGAATATTATATTGGTTATTGATGGTTTGGAATATTCTGTAGGATAAAACTTGTATGAATGATCAACCAACTAATGAAACCTCATTATAATTTCAAGTTTATTTTTAAAATGCAGTAAAAGTAGCCGTATATAGTGTTATATTTTGAAAACTTCATCTAATGTTTTTGTATTATATACATTTTGTACTTATCACTCAAGATTTTTTTAGAGGTCAAAAGATTTGATATCTTATCACAGTTAAGTCCACTATGGATGGGCATCTTTGTTACATTGATTTTTGCTAACATGTTTCACTTGTGTTTTACTTTTGAGTGTGACATTTGGTAAAATTAAGTTTGAATTGAAGTAACAATATTTTGATGTGTATAAAAAATAATTCTGGTATTGACTTTTACACTCCTATGGCAATTTGTAATGACTATGACAAAAAAATTGAGAGTTAGCACTCTTTAGAACATAACAAATGCTACACATAGAGATGCTCTAAATTTGTTATATTAAAATTCAAATATTTATCACTAAGTTGTGGTATTCTTGGACTGATTGGATGGAGTTGAGTTGTGGGATAAGTGTAGCCTAGTTAAAAACTTTAACAACCAATCTCAGTTGTGCAATATACAAAAATGAATCCCTCTCAAACCACTATAACACTTTCTGTATAAAGAAATCAGTGTTATTGCATAGTACAAATTATATGTTATCTTATGAAATGTTAGGTTACCAAGGCAGATCAAAAGTTGAAAAAACTTGAGTCAACTTTTGTAATTTTGTTTATTGTGTTTTATTAATAAAATAATTTATGTACATCCAGTATCTTGCCAATCAATGAGAAATATATTGTTTTGTATCAAGCTCATTTGTATGCTATTTTATATCCTCCTCAAGTATAATCTTCCAATTTTGTTCACTTTTTTGTATGTGACCAAATTGATAGTCATTAAGGGGAAAAATTATATAACTAAAATTATAAATTGAAGTTGAACTAGATAGTCCAGCAAGTATATCTAGTAAAAATGTTAATTTCCATTTGCCTGGATTGATTTTTAATTATCTATATATTTAACTAGCTGTACCTGCGGGCTTTGCCCCGTTTAACTTCATAAGTGAGCTCTTTCGCATGGCTCAATCACGTTCTGGTTGAAGTTCGTTCACTACGCTCACTCACCTTTAGGTTGGAGCTCGTTCGCTGCGCTCACTTGCCTTCAGGTTAGCTCAATCGCTACGCTAACTCGCCTCCAGGTTGAAGTTCGTTCGCTACGCTCACCTTTTGGTTGCAGATTAGCTGTTGTCATAAATTTATAAAAAATAATAGTGCTGCACCCTGTTGGTAATCCTTGTATCTTTAATGCTATTGAACATCATAGAACAGAACCAACTTGTTTAATTGAAACAGCTGTTAAGATTCATTAATTCAATTTAAATATGAGTACTCATAAGGTTAACATGGGAAACTCCAGAGCCACTGGGGCGGAGCCCGAGAGTCCGATCAGAATAAAAACAACTTAGTTTTCCTAATTAATGCCTAAAGAATCAGTGTACCAAATTTCAGCCTCCTAGGTAAATGGGAAGTGGGAGAATTAGTGATGAGTGAGTGAGTCAGTCAGTCAGTGAGGGCTTTGCCTTTTATATATATAGATACGCTAGGAAAATTTTTGTCATAATTGTTTTAGAGCGGTGGTGCTACCGATCACCATGTCCAAGGTGTCGTTAGAAAGGTCTTAGCATGTAGTTTTGCCATCAAACAAAAAACTTGGGAATTTCATCAGGGCTCTGCCCCAGTGGCCTTCAAAGTTCCCATGTTATTCTTAGGGGGAAAATGTTTGTTTACATTTGAACAGATTAATACTTCGAAATTGACACTAATATTTGAAGCAGCTGGTTATACTAAAATTGGAGACATGTGCTATAAGGATCTTTTAAATATTAATACGTGAGGGCTGTTTTTTGTGAACAAAACTCCTGTTATTTCTGGATCAATTTTAACGTTCGAGGTGTCAAATAATTCGTAGTTTTGCATAACGGTTTTAAAATTTAAAAACTCTTACCCTTAAGGGCACGAGACGCTCTCAAAGGTCACATTTTCCCCATAACAATTACATTGAAATCAAATTTTAAAACATAAACAGCTGTATATAAAAAGAAACTCACCAGCTTTTTGGGAGTAAATATTGATGTTTGTAATATTTAGGAGGTTATAGACAAATCTAAACAGTCTATACGTAACAAATCTATACGTATGGGAAGAGTAGAGTAGAGGCCTGGTCTCACAGTAAGGAATCCAGATACACAATCACTTGGGGAGATGAATCATTTTTGCCAGTTATGCTAAACAACTTTTTGGAAGAAAAAAAAAACCATGAAGAATATGGACACTTCATGTTGTCACAGTGAAAAATTTGACAATGCTAAAATTATTTCACTAGTTAATAATAATAATAATAGTTAGAATAATAGTTTCTATATTATGGATAATGTAAAATTGGGACATTATCCATAATGTCATAAAATCTGACCTACCTAAAGTCAGATCAAATAAATACATGCAAGAAATGTTTACTGGTAATAGCTTTAAGCTGGGAAACATTTGTAAAAAACATTAAGAAATAAGGTTGCGTTCAAAAAATTCTGAAATATTTTTACAAGAAGCGTTTATTATTTCAAAGCGCTATTAAATAGCGTGAGTATTTCAATTAGTTACATAAGTATTTAGTCGGTTCTTTTAAACTCATCGAAAATTAAGACTGTTATTACTGTAGTTTTAAAATAACTTCTGTATAATACCGGTACTTGAAAATTGCTCGATTTCGAGCAACAGGTACACTAGTTAATCTATTAAATTAACATTTATGTTTAACGAGTACCTAGGTTAGCTGCCACAGGGAAACTAATAAAGTGTGTTTTTTTATTGAAATATCAATAGCTTAGTATGAAATAAATGAAAACGCCAAGTTTGATCAAAATTTATCCATAAACAAGCCAACTACAACATATTATAATCTCTATAAGAATATCATGAGAATTTTAAATTAACAATTTTTTGAATTTTCTCCGTTACTAATTATTGTACAAAACACTTTGATATACTAATTATTTGCTTTTTTAAGCTCTTTCAAAAGGTCTGGAGAAGAATTGATAAATTGTGTGTTTTAATGGTAAAAAATGAGAAAACCCCATAGAACCCCCCGTTCTAATTGTCCGATCATGCTGGTTCGCGAACTCATTCAAGTTCCCGCCTTACACCTTCACACCAAATGTTATTAAAATCGGACAAAAATTACTCAAATCGTGCAGATGGACACACACACACATATAAATTTGAACGAATGGTGTTTTTGGCCTCTGGGAACATCAAAATGAAAAAGTAAATCGGTCCCGGGCCTAGGTCTTACCACGAGACCTACGGTAATAGCTAGCCTACTTCCCTAGAGGGAAATTCGCTAATAAACGGAATCACCAAACAAGCAAACTGTCACACACTTTGTCTCTTTGTCTCATTAGCATGATAATCGTCCAATTTCAATTTCCTTAATTTCAAATTTCTCCAAAAAGGTGAATCGCTCGCTAGCTCAGTCGGTAGGGGTAGTGTCACGGCGGAATTCGAGCCCAAGGCAGCGATGTCGTGGGTTCGGATCCTGGTCACTGTTGCAAACATTTTACCAGTACAGTTCACCTTCTTACTGTATCGGTTCACCCCTTGCTTTGCTAGATACGTTCCACGCATGGGCAGTTAGTCTTTGTGGAAGGGCAAATGCAAGGTTAAAAGAGGCCGCCAACCTGTTTTTAACAAATAAAAGTTTTTGGACGTTTGTTTCTGAACAGAGGCGTTTTTCGATTTCGGAGGAAAACATATCTTATCTTCCCATCGATCTTCATCTTATGTTCGTGTTCAGATCGACCCTCGACGCAGTCACATATATGTTGTGTCATTCTTATCAAGAGTAAAATTTATAAAAGGTTTAATTTACCTGTTGCGTCAATTGATCCTTGTGTTATAAAACAACTACAGCTGTTTCGTGCTGCTAAGCGAGCACATCAGGATGGAAGAACGTTAAATTACAGATTTCTCATCCGTGATTGAGGTCGATCAGCACATTCAGGACACATAACTTGAAACGACATTTATTTAAGCACAGTATTTACAATGAAAAATTGGCCAAGTAGTCCGAACACGAGGTGCGTAACCGGTAGCATGATGAGTCCCACTGTCGGGTCCCAACTCCCGACACGGGTCAGTCATGACTCATCTACCGGTTATGCACCTATTGTGTTTGGACTACTTGGCCTAGTTTTTCATTGTAAATACTTAAATGTCGTTTTGTGTGTGTTTCGTGTTATATGTGTCCTAATGTGCTGAAGACCTCATTCACGGATGAGAAAACTGTAGTTTAACGTTCTTCCAACTGATAATGTGCTCGCTTAGCAGAACGAAACAGCTGTAGTTATTTTACAATCAGGGAAAACCTGGAAAAGTCAGGGAATTATGGAAAAAATCTGGAATTTCTCATTAAAGACTGCCTTTTTTATAGTATGCTACATTTTGCTCTAAACGTAGACGTGTACATTTACAACAGCAAACACTTTAATAAAACATTAAAATACATTAATCCCCCACGGACACCTCTTTGCAGTCAAAAGGTCAAATTCAAAGGTTCAAAGGTCTATTTTTTGTACGTTTTTGAACACCGTGTAAATAGGGATGAAAATAATTTAAAACTTTTTCCACTAAAATACTCAGGGCTCAAGGACCTTTAAATGAGGTATATCACGACACCGCACGACCCCCCTTTACATTTGAAAATTTCCCAAAACCACCCCACCCCCCAAAATCTGCCCTTTGATTTTTTTTTTTTTGAAAATAATTTAGTAGATTTTTTTAGGGTCAAAATAGGGGGTTCCAGTTGCAATTAGGTTTCCATTTGCTTTCATGTTGGAGTTATAGAAGCCGGCTGGGTGGTCTGAGACACCCTGTATAATATAATATCATAGACTAACGTTTTATCTATGGTAATATTTTTGCTGTGCTAATATCATAGATAAGACATAATGCTAATATGAATAGTTTGAATTGAAGGTAGGTAGCTTTATATTATTTTATACATATGAAGAGAAGATTTGAAAATTGGGTTATAACCCCGAAACAATAGTCATCGAAGACAATAGAGGACTGATTGACGACAGGTTAGTAACCTCATTTTATGTAGCTTTATAGTACAGTATAATATGTTCCTGATTCAGTGATTCGGATTCGTTTTGACTTACCCATTGCCTAACGGATGTTTACTTGGCCGTCTTTGATTTTATTATGACAGACACAAACACTGCCACCTAGAGCAGCAGAAGCAGAGAAACAGAAACATTATTAGAGGGCATTAGTTTGCTTCAGCTTCAGCTCTCAGCAGCAGATCAGATTCAACTGTGAAGGTCCATTATGGCATCTGCGGAGAAGATTGTATTTGGGTGAACCAGTTGTAAATGGCTCAATTAAGGGAAAAGTCCACTTTCTATCGAAAATGGGTGTGATTTAATTGTGATTGGTGTAAACTTACCTATGTTCTAAGAATAATATTTTGTTGTTTGTGTGCGAGTTGTGATCTAGACATCAACCATAATGCCTGGACTGATAGGAGTAAATGAATTTATCGAAGAAACAAGGGAGGACTACAACTCCCCTACGACATCTACGTTTGTCTCACGAATGGGACAATGTAGACAAACCATCACTACACTAGAAGAGGTAAGTTAGTTATTAGATTATTAAAGAATCACTTAAAACCCTTTTTGACCCAGAGAGCCAAACACAATATTGTTACTCCACCAAAGCCTTTGGTTGCACTTTAGTTTACGTCCTACATTTAC